GAATAACATTTGACTACATATATAGGCCCTATATCATATTCCACCATTGGATTATAGCGTGTCAGGGATTTCCCCTTAAACTTAATTGTCTCTTAATGGCGTCAAAATACGTCTGTTATGTTGCGTCAAATGTGTGCTTGGTGTTATGTTTCTTTGTGATCCTTAGTAGTTCTGAACGTCTCAGCCCTTGGAACAAGACTGCCTTTAATGATAACGCTATTTACTTCATCTCACAATCTGCATCAAAACCTGAAATTCATGCATTTTCCGTTCGAAAGGTGACCCATGAACTTAAGGGTGCAAAACTATCTCAAACCATCCTCTTGACATGTAAAATTTTCCAACGTGCCTCACTGGCTATGATACTAATTGCCCTCTCTGGAGATATAGAACTTAACCCCGGCTTCAAATTTTTAAATGACATCAAGAAAAATAGGGGCCTAAAGATTGCTCACTTAAATGTTCGCAGCTTACGAAACAAGATCGACCAAATCCGCCTTGAAGTGTTAAGCGTGAACTCATTGGATGTTCTTACCTTATCAGAAACCTGGCTAGACTCAACAATCTTAAACTCTGAGATACATCTACCCGGATTTTCGTGCGCAAGACGCGATAGACATGGTCTTAAGTCTGGCGGCGGAACTATTATCTACCTGAGGGATGGCCTGCAATTTCGTGTTCGGGGCGATCTTAACACTGCAGATAATGAATGCACATGGGTCGAAATCATTCGTAAGAATTGCAAGCCTCTCCTGATATGCTGCATTTATAGACCTCCAGACCAAGACTGTGCACGATTTATCTCGGAACTTGATGATTGCTTGTCTAAGATAGATCTGGATAAATGTGAATTGATTTTATTAGGTGATTTCAACGTAGATCAATATAATGGCTGCAAACAGAATAAGCAAAAACTTATGAACTTTGCACGTTCCGTGGATATGTCTCAAATTATAACAGAGCCAACTAGAATAACTAGCACCACTCGGTCATTGATTGATTTGGTTTTCGTCAATAATCAACATCGTATTGTCGACTCCGGTGTAGTTTCGTTATCCTTGAGTGATCATTCTTTAGTTTACTGTGTAATAAAATCAGGTGTGAAAAAGGCTCCCCCTAGAACAATTGAATACCGCTCGTACAAGTCCTTTAATGCCAATACTTTCATTCAAGACTTGAATAATGTACCTTGGCACGTTGTCGAAAATGAAAGCGACATTGACAGTGCAGTACTGATGTGGAATAAATTGTTCTGTGACATCGCCGATGCCCATGCACCTGTCAAACGTCGTCGTGTAAAAGGCACACAAGTACCATGGATGAACAGTAAGATTAGCGAAGCTATGCAAGATCGCGACTACCATCATCGCAAAGCCGTAAAGTCAAACAAAACCTATCATTGGAATATGTACAAAAAATTGAGAAACTTTGTTAATAAAGAAGTTAAATCGGCCAAGTCCAAATACTACTGCGAGCTAATTGAACAAAGTAAAGGTGACTCCAGCAGGATTTGGAAGGCGGTTAACGAAGTTTCGTCACGCGATAACAAGAGCTCCACCCCGCAGTACATTGTCACTGATGGAGTAAAACACTCAGACCCCAAATCTATTGCCATTGCCCTTAACACTTATTTCGCCTCAGTCGGAAAATCCTTAGCTGCAAAGTTTACAACTGTCTCACAAACATTTACAGCAAGTCCCACTCCTGTCCCGGAAACAATGTTTGAGCTCGAAGAAGTACAAGAATCCTATGTTCTTGCACAACTCCAGACTTTGAAGACCAACAAAGCTATCGGTTTGGACAAAATAAGTGCAAGACTGTTAAAATGTGCGTCTTGTTCAATCAGCAAGTCTGTGACAAGATTACTTAATCTTTCCATCAAGAGCAACCATTTCCCAAAGATTTGGAAATGTGCTAAGGTTACGGCCCTATTTAAATCAGGTGAACGTTCCAATCCTACAAACTATCGTCCTATCTCGGTCTTGCCTACTCCAAGTAAGATCTTAGAGAGAACCGTTCACTCGCAATTGTATAGCCACCTAATTACTAACAACTTGCTCACAAGCAAGCAGTTTGGATTTCGACAAAGGTACTCAACCATCACTGCCCTGACCAACTTTGCGGATGAAACTCTGAGTAACATGGAATGTGGAAGGCTTTGTGGAGCTGTATTTCTAGATTTGTCGAAGGCATTCGATACAGTGGACCACAGCATCTTACTCCACAAACTTAAAGCGATGGGTATGTCACCTAGCACCGTAGGTTGGTTTGAGTCCTACCTGAGCAACCGGATGCAACAAACATCTTGTGGAAATGAATTGTCAGACTCTCTTCCTGTCACTTTTGGAGTACCCCAGGGGAGCATTTTGGGCCCACTTCTCTTTCTCATGTACATAAACGATCTGCCCAGTATTACCAATAAATGCAATGTTTCCTTGTATGCCGACGACACAGTCTTGTATTGCTACGCCTCAGATGTCAATGATCTTGAAAAAAATCTTAATGAAGATTTACTCAAGTTAGCGATTTGGTTAAATGAGAATAAGCTGACACTGAATTTAAATAAAACTCGATCAATGATTATAGGCAGTGATAGGAAGTTATGTAATATATCTTCGATATCTGTCTCTGTCAACAATACTGAAGTCTCCAACGCCAGCAATTTCAAGTACTTAGGAGTCACCATCACAGCCAACTTCACCTGGTCAGAACATATAGATCGCATTTCCGCTAAAGTCAATCAACGCCTAGGTCTACTTCGTAGGATTAAACATCTGCTACCATTTAATGCACGAATCCTTTTTTATAACAGTCTCGTACTCCCAATCTTTGACTATGCGGATGTTATATGGGGAGACAAAAATAATACAGTGTTAATGAACAATCTTCAGATACTCCAGAACAAAGCCGCCAAGATTGTTTTAGATAGACCATATTTTTCATCGGCAACAGACGCGTTAAGCACTTTAGGCTGGACCACTCTAGAACAACGCAGATTGTATCATAGATGTTTATTTGTTTTTAAGTGTCTAAATAATCATACTTCACATGGATTTGAACTTCTAGCGAACAGAGAAATACACAACTACAATACGCGATATAAGGACAATTTAAGGCCACCTAAAGTGTCAAGGAATTGGGGAAAGCAAAGACTCGCTTATCAGGCCATAACAGACTGGAACAATTTGGACAAAAAGATAAAACTATCTACTAGTATTTCTACATTTAAGAGAAACTTTTTTAGCAATCTTTGAACCGTATAATTTTTAAATATTTTTCATAGTTATGTAGTATATGCATGTCTTTCTTGTATAATAGTTTATTTAGTTCAGGACCTTTCTGAAAATCACTTTGTGAGAAAGCTTCCTGAAATTAAATATTAATTAAAAAAAAAAAAAAGGGTCATGAATCGAAAAATGTTGCTATTGCTAGGTACAACCGAAACACTACCCTTTCAGGTAGGTGGTTGCAGATTTCCCGTTATGAGTTTGTTCAGTTGGTCTGGTTGAGAGAGAGGGGCTATTATTTGGCTGTTGAGAGAGAGGGGCTATTATTGCATACATGCAAACATACATTCCATCAACATCAAGAGTTACATTAGGTGAATCCTGTCACTATGGATTTCATAAGAGTTCCCAAGAGAAGTGTTACTATTGCTCACACAAGTACAGAAAAGGTATTGAACACAGTGTTCCTGCTGGTAAACTGCTCGAGGACAAGAAACTCGTTGGTATATCACAGAGGTGAAGGACATCTTAAATATTAAATTTGTACATTATATCAGGATTTGCAATGTTTAATAGTTGATGCTATTCATATACATGCAAGTCAGGTTTTCATTCAAAAGATTACCTACTGTACTTGAAATTCAAACTTGTATAAGAAATTATCTGCAATATTAATAGATAGCAGGCTTCTATTTAAAACATTGAACATTACATACCTGAAATTCAGGCTTTAAAATTACAAATATTCTTGTTTTAATGGACTTTTATAATTTAACAAAATATTTATATTTATGTTGTATAATGTTACCTGTTTTTTGAAGAGTTTGTGTATGTTTTAATCATATGCCTAAGTAATTGACCCTAGATGATTAATATTGCATATTCCTAGATGGAGTAAAATAAAGTAGATTAACCCTTTCAAGTGGGAATGTGTGCCAATGCATCTTACTTGGCTATTTTACTGTCTAATATCATACAATTTTATCCATAAAGCGGAGAGGACCCTTCACCAGTAACATCATGATTTTGATTTTACGTTTGATATCACTGCTGTGCTGATCACGGAAACATAAAGAAATATATTATTTTATTGGTGCAACGCTCATTTCAAGTTCAACCAGCGTTTTCGTGTTGTAACCTGAATTATTCATCGTTCTAGATATTTTGACGGTTGGCTTTCACAGTTTTTGTTATTCGTCGCTTAGTAACAGCACTTTAAATTTTCCCGCATGTATAAAGTACTTTATTGTATATCAAACAGTCTATCTACTAATGGTAACTTATGACTGTCTGCTTTGATATCATCCGCTGTTCGTGGTTTACCTCCTATTTTTTTAATATCTCTTGGAAAGCCTTGGAAATTATCGTTAGCATACTACAGAATACTTTGTCCTCGTTTGAACTTTTCATTTGACCTTTGAAATCCGAGACTTTGCTCCCTGATATCTCGCATATTCCTAATCGGCTGCGGGATTTTCCCTGACATTTGTAAATCATGGTGGTTGTTTGCCTACTTCACCAGCTCCTGTTTCTTCTACTTATCTTCTTACAAAGTGCTAAATATAACATCAATGGTACTGAAACCTCACCTTCTTTAACAAAAGTACAGATTGATTTTAAAGTTTGTCCCTCTTGGCACTCTGGAATTAACTCATCTCCCTCAACTGTGTTCTATAATCGGAAAGGTTTTATGAAAAGGAGACTAAACTACTATCTTAACTGCTCTGCTTCTTTCAACCCAATAATGGTATCTGCTATACGTAGTGGAGTACGTTGGGACCAGTGTTTTGTACCTAATGATGTGGATGTTTCGCTCTCAAATTGGTGTGCTGTTTTTCTAACCATTGTTAACCAACACATGCCTAAATCTAAGACCAGAAATATCCATGATCATCCTTGGATTGATAGAGAGCTTTTGTCTCTCATTAAGAGAAAAAACATGCAAAGACTAAAAGCCAATAGATCAGGTTGTGTTTATGACACTCAAAAGTTTAAAGATCTTCGACGCCTAACAAAACAACTTATCTTGCAAAAAAAGGAGTATGCAACTAAACTCAGAGACTCTGTCACAGAAAACCCGAAATGGTTCTGGTCTTTCATAAATCCTCTAGGTCGGCCAAAACCAACGCGAACTTCCTTCGAGATAATCAATCTTTTATTACTGACAGCCGTGACAAAGCTAACCTGCTGAACTCCTTCTTCCACTCAGTCTTTAGTCCTGCTAAAGCTACCACTACAACATCTAATCTCCCATTCTCCTCCGACACAGCCTTATCCAACATCCAACTAACAGAAAACGAAGTCTTTAAAGCTCTTGACGGTTTGGATCCAAGCAAGCATGCGGACCTGATGGGATACCTGGAAAACTTCTCAAGATGACGGCTAACATAATAGCACCATCTCTCTGTTATATATACAATCTTTTTTTGTCCCTGGTGTAGTTCCTGCTTGTTGGAAGCTCGCAAACGTTACACCTGTGTTCAAAAAATACGATTCAACGCTCGCTTCTAACTATAGACCCATATCCCTATTATCTATCATCTAAAAAACGCCCGAACGCTGTGTATATAACCACTGCTATCCCCATCTACCACCACATTTCTACCATCTACAGCATGGTTTCTTAAGGGGTAAATCTACGGTAACTCAACTACTCCACATCTACCAAGAAATCCTAGATCACTTAGCTGGTGGCAGACAGATTAAACTGATCGTCGTGATGTGAGGAGCTTATTTCGAAGCTCCTGTTCTGATCAGTATATGTATGTATGTTTGTTTCTTCGAATAAAATATCTTTTATAGCGACCTTGTTTGTACTTGTGTTTGTATATCAACGTGTTAACATGGTAGAAATAGCTCAAATTGAGGAAGTATTGAAGAAAGAATTGGCACCTGTTCACACTAAGCTTGCTGCGGTAGAAGGAAACCTTAAACAAATGACCACGTCCTTAGAATTCTTATCGACAAAATACGATCAACTGCTAGGACATTCCAAGACCACTAACGAGAAAATAACAGGGCTTACAAAAACAACTAGAACCATTCAAGCAGACATTAAAATCAACAGAGATATGACTCTCGAAGCAAAAGGGGAATCCGACGAGCTAGCACAGTACCTGCGAAGAGACTGTCTTGAAATTTCAGGAGTGAAACCAAATGCAGAATACAGTAGCGAAGCCATCGTAGAGAGTATTGGCAAAGTATTGAAAGTTAACATCGAAGAAAAAGACATTTCAACCGCCCACCCATTACCTACGTTCAATAATTGTGAAGTTCACTTGCAGAAATGTACGCAACAAATTCTACGCTGAAAGAAAAACTCTTGCTGGCAAGAACCTCAAAGATAATCCACATGTCAGAAAATTTCTAGTTGGAGATAGTATATATATTTCAGAATCGCTTACCCCTCGAAGAAAGAAGCTATATGGCGATATTAATAAGTTTCGAAAAAAGTTTAAATGGAAGTTTATCTGGTCTCATAACGGACGAATTTACATAAAGAAGAACGAAGCTACAACCGAACGCTATGCTTTTGACACTGCTGATGACCTTGCTAAATTTCAACAACATTTTCAGGCACTCGGCTAAACTGGCATTATGTACGATCTTGTAATACAGGGTGTATCAAAATAAACGCAATTCATCTTTTGTGCTTAATAACTTTCGAAATACTATTTCTAGTAAAACGCTTTTAGGCTTACTTGAAAGCCTGTTCTTTTCTCTTTCAAACAAACTATTATCCTTGTCTCCAATGCTAGTAATAATTGCACAGGAAAAGATTTAGTAAAACTTATCATTTTTAGTTGCTGTTTAATTATGCAAGTTTACTATGTTATTGTTTAGTCGGTTTAAATGTTAGAATTTTCTTCTTTAAATTTTAATGTTGTCGTCACTACATCTGGAAAACCACGTAAGAACAAATTAAAAGTATTTTAAAAGAGACCAGGTTGTTTGAAAATCCTAAACGAATGCTAAAAATCGTCAAAACATTCTGGTGTCTGAGCCAGAGTGTCATCGAATTGCGATGTAATGTAAACAGAAATTATAGCAAGTTGATGTCAGTCAGCTTAGATGGTCCAAGCCAAAATTATATCGCATTTGAAGTTTCAAACTGAGTTAAAAATAATGGAAGAAAAGCCGTAATTATACTTATTGTTACAATCCATTTAATAAAATGCAACATTTTTTTGTTTTAATGAAAAAATCAGTTATTTTCATGAGAACGATTTGTTATTCCATCTTAATTTTTTTAATCTCCAATCGCAATAACGTAAAGTATTATTACCCGCGAACCAATGAGTCAAATGTAAGAAACAACCCACTGTTAGAAAGCTGAATGGCTACGCTTTTAAATGAATGTAAACTTTAACGTTTTCGTGTATTATTTGTTTAGCAATTTACATTTCAGTCGAGGATTGCGCTTTTTCTTATACACCCTGTATAGGTATATTTAGCCTATTGGTATTACTTTTCTCCTTCCAACATGCATATCTTTTGCAAAACTTTACTATGTTTATTTTATTTGGGTGTGTTTGTCAAAACCTTTGAAATTAATATTAGCATTTTCTTTTGTGGTAATGCTTTAATGAAATCTTATATATGCAGTGCAATTACCTGTAAAATTTAATAGTGCTATTATTATGTTAAGTGAGTTACCCTACTATAATCTTACGGATGAGCAATTTTCAAAAGAAATAGGAGCCTGGGTGTATAATTCAATTGATAACTTGTATGCAAGATCTAAAGATCTGTTTAAAGATATTGTTGAAAGCCTTGACAAAGCAAATGACTGTAATGAAAACTTAATCTACGACTATATTGAATCTAATGAAAACTTAATCTACGACTCTATTGAATCTAAATATCATACTATAAAACAATTTGGGAATAGGTTTTCAAATGTTAAGCGTAAAGGCTTCTCGATATTACATTGCAACATCCGTAGTCTACCTAAAAATCTAAGTTTACTAAATGATGTGCTGCTAATGGTAAAAGAGTTGCTGAATATTATTGCAATTACTGAAACGAGGCTTGCCGAAGATAGTCATCATAATATTAGAATTCCCGGTTATATTTTTTTGGGAGTGAACTCCAAAACTTCAGCGGGAGGTGTTGGGTTTTATATTTCGGAGAACATTAATTTTACCAGACGAAATGATTTAGATCTTGCTCTCACTGAGGCAGATATGTGAACTCACCCGCATTGAGTGGGTGACACCCGCATTTTGGAATCATCACACACGGAAAAATTGGCACATAAAATCACCCGCATTAGCAAATTTTATAGCAATTCACCCGCATTCTGTGATTCTGTCTTCTGATTCTTGATTCGTTGTTCTGTTTTTGGTTGGTAGAGTGTATGCATGCGCACATCTACTTCTACTTCAACTAGACTTAACTCTTAAGACGTTTGTATACATCTGTTTTGTCATAAACAAGAATATAAATATCTATGGAAGTTAGAAATATGGGGCTTAGCAAGGCTTTTATAAATTACCAATCAATTTTCTCAACAACAAGAAATGACGTCATGTCAAAAATTATATATCACCCGCATTTTTGTTACTTAGGGTTCACATCTCTGCTGAGGGTGTTGAAAATTGTTGGATTGAAATCCAAAGAATTAAACAAAAAAACGTAGTCATCGGATGCATTTATAGGCACCCATCACAAAATCGCGAGACTTTTCACGAAGCTATCGAGACAAAATTAAACTTATTAACTGATGAAAACTGTGAGGTTTACATAACAGGTGATATAAACATAGACTTTTTAAAATACCATACAGACAATAAAACATCAAATTATCTTGACATGTTACTCAATCTCGGTTTTTTGCCAATAATTACTAAAGCTACCCGAATTACCGACCATACTGCCACACTCATTGACCATATCTATACAAATTGTCCTCAAAAAGTGGTTAAATCTGGTGTCTGCCTTGTGGGTATATCAGATCATTTGCCTGTTTTTTGTACAATTGAAAACAAACTTCCATTTATACAAGAAAGGAAATACTATAGAGACTTTTCTAAATTTAACAATGAACTATTTATTGATGATCTCAATAAAATAAATTTTAATAATTTTGTTAGCACAGACGTTAATCAAAGTATGAATGGTATTACAAATGCTTAACAATGAACTATTTATTGATGATCTCAATAAAATAAATTTTAATAATTTTGTTAGCACAGACGTTAATCAAAGTATGAATGGTATTACAAATGCTTTAAAAGAGGTCACTAATAAACATGCCTATCGCATCTTTCGATTAAAATTAAGAGCGAAGTAATAACCGAAACACATTCTGCACGTAGTATTTATTAATATAATATACAGTCCAATTACAGACAGAGATTAACGAAACGAAATAACACTAAGACAATGTAGTTGTGTTCTCGGTAAAAAGTCTAAGTTGTCTGTCCCGAGTCTATATCCAAGATAGTTCAATAGTAGAGTGATAATGGTCTAACTCTGACGACTGTTTAACGATAATGAGAAAAACAACTTGGTAAAGTCTGGTGCAATAACAAGAATGCTAATTAAACATGCATATGAATTAATTACCAATACATAATGACGTCAATTAGTAACGCAGGAAATATAATTAAGCTAACGTTTGAATAAGGTTTGAATAAACCATGACACTCCCCGCCCGAGGACACAGTCCTCCCTACCTATATTCACTGTTCTTCAGCACGAATGAGCACGACAAATTCCTTGATGGGTCTCAGATACCGTTTGATTGTTCCATCGTACGAAACTGCTACTTCTGCTTTCCTTACTTTGGTATCCTCACTTTGCATTGCGTTAACGATTCTTCCCATTTTCCAATAGTTACGTCGTGTTTCTTCTTTCATTATTACGATGTCTCCCGGCGGTAGATCTCGTTCTCGGACGTTCCACTTTGTTCTCGACTGAAGTCCTTGTAGGTCCCAGTGAATCCAAAATTGTTGCGCGAGATATTGGACTCGTCTCCAGTATTTACGTGAGTAGATATCTTGTGCCGTAAATGTTTCAGGAGGAGAAGGTAGAGGTCAAGTTTTCATGGTCAACAACAGTGCAGGAGATAATGGTTGAGGATGGTCAGGGTCTGTGGGTAGAACACCAATTGGATGAGCATTAACTATGGCACTGACTTCGGCCATCAAGGTTACGAGCAGATCGTGAGTGAGTTGACGAGGTCCGAGTTTTGAAAGCATGACGTCTAGAACACGTCTAATCGTACCGATCTGTCTTTCCCACGTGCCCCCAAAGTGAGATGCATGAGGAGGGTTAAACAACCATTGGCACCCTTCTTCACTGAGATAATGTTGGATTGAATCTTGGTCCATTTCGTTTAAGGCGTTTTCTAATTCTGTTTTTCCGCCAAGGAAATTGGTACCGCGATCACATCTCAGTACGGCGGCTGGGCCACGGATGGCGAAGAATCTTCTTAAACCGCATATAAATGAACTTGAATCCATACTATCTAGTACCTCGATATGTACCGCTCTGGAATTAAGGCACGTGAAGATAAGGCCCCATCGTTTAGAATTGGAAGTTCCTCCTCTAAGCTTACGCATATGGATCACCCAGGGTCCGAAGACATCAAATCCAACGTTAGTAAAGGGCGGCGGCGTCTCCAAGTGATCAAATGGCAGATCCGACATATGTTGTTCTTGAACTTTTCCTCTAAGTCGTTTACAGGTTACACATCGGTTGATTAGTTTGGACACCATTCGTCTGCAGCTAATTATCCAGAATCCTCCTTGCAACACGGCACCTTGAGATATTAGCTGACCTTGATGGTGGGTTTTTTCGTGGTAGTGATTTATTACGAGGTAGGAAAGACAATGATCTTTAGGAAGGAAAGCGGGGTGTTTTTCATGGTATGTCTGATGGGAACAACGAGTTCTGCCGCCGACATGAAGAATGCCGTATTCATCTAGAAACGGGTCGAGACGATACAGGTGAGACGTTTTGTGGTTGTGTTCTTTGTGCGTCAACGTCCTGTTGGAATGAACTCTGGAAGAAGTCAGTGCGTCGATCTCTGGAGCGAAAGATTCTCCCTGCACGGTCTTGGTTAGGACTTCTTCAGCGGATTTGAGCAGGTCTGAAGATATTCTTCTTTGGATGTTTTCGGAATTTGGGTGTGCAGGTCTCATGGAGCTCTTTTCCCCATCCAGATCTCGACGTAACTTAAAAGTTCTAATTTTCAAAATCAGCCTTGCGACAGCTCTTCGAAGCGTGGACCATCTTGAAAACCGTTCAAATCTCCTTGAGCCAAATCCTTTAACGTGTTGTTGTGCATTTAATTTTAGGGCAAGCAAGGGTCGGATCTCAGGATCTTCTTCGTTCAGTGGCATCTCAACATGCGAGCTAGGTGACAATTGATGAGGATTTCGTAGGAACTCTGGTCCTTGAAACCATTGGGTATTCAACAACTGCTTAGGACTAATGCTTCTTGTTGCTAGATCAGCAGGATTGATTGATGTACCCACGTATCTCCATTGCGTTGGACTGGAAATTTGTCGAATTATCTGGACTCGATTAGCGACGTAGGAGTAGAATCGTCTTTTCTCATTTTGGATATATCCCAAGACTACCTTCGGATCGCTGTAAAATACGACCTCGTTGACTTCGATTGTGAGTTCTTTGAGGACGCGTCTCGTCGCTTGAGTAGTTAGGACTGCAGCGTAAAGTTCTAATCTGGGGATAGTCGTTAATCGCCTTGGAGCCAGTTTCGTTTGAGCAAAGATCAGAGACACGGAAACTCTTTCTTTGTTGTCGACTAGTTTCAGGTAAACCGTCGCACCGATAGCATCTTCGCTTGCATCGGAGAACGCGTGGAGTTCAACACGGGTAATCTGTCCAAAGTTGTTTGGATGGTAACATCTTGGGATAAGAACGTCTTGCAATTCGTAAAGTGCATCTCTCCAACGTAGCCATTCGTTCAACAGGCTGGAAGGAAGAACCTCGTCCCATCCCAATAGTTGGTTGTTACCAGAACGTTTGTTTCTCATGTCTGTTAACTTGCGTAGCAATAATCTGCCTCCGAGTGTGATAGGAGTGATTAATCCTAATGGGTCGTAGGTAGAATTAACAATAGCAAGAACGCCACGACGAGTATATGGTTTCTCAGGTAGGGAAATTCTAAAGGTAAAGGCATCTTTCTCTACGTCCCAGTGCATGCCTAACGAGCGTTGAACAGGAATGGGGTCAACTTTTAGATCCAAATCTTTGAGGTTATCGATGCGGTCTTCTGCTGGGAAGGATTCCATGACAACAATGGAATTTGAAACCACCTTGTGGAGTCGTATGTTAGCGGTTGCCAACAGGGCTTGTGTATTCTTCACGAGGGGAATTGCGTCAGTATCCAAAGGCGTGGAGGTTAATCCATCATCGATATAAAAGTTGTTGTTCACAAATTCTTTCGCTGCGGACCCAAATATCTCCTCGCCGTCTTCAGTGGTCCTTCTTAAACAGAAATTAGCGACGGCTGGGCTGCAAGTATTTCCAAACATATGCACGGTCATTTCGTATTCAATGATTTCTTTCTTTGGGTTATTGTCCTTGAACCACAGGAACCGTAGCAGGCTTCTGTTGTAAACACACTTTGTTAATAAACCGCCATCTTACATTCTGCTCCATGAGGCTAGATCACGTGACTCCATGATCACCTGATACTACAAGGACACTACATCTCTCCCTGCCTTGGTATTTAAGATAATATAACGTTTGTTGATATTAACCTAGAAACTGTTCGGTTGTTTAACATAACACAACAAATATCAATGTCTATTAAGTCCTTTAAATTAAAGTACATAGTATTATAGTCTTGTACTTATCGTTGTCCATCATGAAGGAATTCTGGTCTTTTCCGTTGTCTTCGTGGATATTGTCGTCTGCCTTCATCTCTGTTTTCAACAACTACATTTCTCCCTCTCTCTCTAGCATTTTCATTTCGTCCCTCAACTTTGTTGTCACTTGTTTCTCCTTGATTTGTAGCACCTCCCGTGAATAACTTGAAATGTGAACTGTTCCGAGTTATGCAGTGATCAGCTCTCGTAGCCGTAATCATGGTTCCTTTTACAGCCGTTATGGTATATGGATTTGGGTCAAAATGTGGTGTCAACTTATTCTGTTTCTCTTGCCGCACTAAAACACAATCTCCAACAGCGAGTTGAGGTATTCGAGCATGTCGGCGTTTATCAGCATATTCATTGCGTTTACACTTGGCATTCTGATCAGCGGTATCTATTGTTTCGTTGATATACTTCATGTCTGGGAGTGTTTCAGTAACTGACGGTAACTTATTGCGAATGGAACGTCCAAACAAAGCAGTAGCTGGTGGAACCGTAGTTGTTGAATGTGGAGTGGATCTGTAGTTTAATAAGAATTGATACATTTCTTTGCGCCAGTTTTTATGATCAACATGAGCAGCTTGGATACATTTCTTCAAAGGTCTCATGAAGTTCTCAGCCTCTGCATTGCCTTGAGGCCAGAGTGGTGTTATCTTATGATGATGGATCTTATTATCATTCATAAACTTCTGAATCTCATAGCTTGTAAAAGGTGGGCCGTTGTCGGTGATAACTTTCTTTGGTAAACCATGTGTTGAAAAAATCCGATCAAGTCGAGGGATGGTAGAACTTGCAGATGTACTCTTAACAATTTCTACTTCAGGGAAGCGTGTTCGACCATCAATTACCACAAGAAGTAATTCTCCACTTGGAAATGGGCCGAGAAAATCTACATAAACGGTATCCCATGGATGCTTTGGGATCTGAATCAATTTCAGTGGTGCAGGGGTTTTGGTCGAGTGACTGATTGGCAAGGTAAGCACTTTTTTAATGCACTCTTCAACATATGAATCAATTTGGTAAAACCATACTTTCTCTCGGATTAAGCATTTAGTTTTAACTAGACCTTGGTGGCCTTCGTGTGCCAATTTGACAGCTTGGGCTCTCAGTTTAGTTGGTATGACAACTCGGTTTCCTCGAAGTAGAATATCGGCATCTGATGACACAGTCAATTCATCTCGTAGTTTATACAAGGCATGTAATTCATCAATATTAACTCCTGTAGACATTTTGTCTTGTTTCTCAAGAGCAGTCCAGTTATTTGTTTGAATGAATTCTATGGTTTTACTAAGAGTGGGGTCTTGTCTGGTTGCATCCTTGATACAAGCAATATCCATAGCAACAGGTATGGCATTTTCAGCAATCAGGCAAACATGCTCTTCAGCTATATTCTCAAGGTAATTTCTGGTGTTTGTGGCAGTGCATGGATGACGAGATAGATAGTCTGAAGGATTCTTTGGACCGGGCCGATATTTAACATGGAATGAGTACTCTTGCAGACGTAAACACCATCGCTCGATACGGCTGGATGGGCGAGACTGGAGGTTCTTGTAGATTAATTCAAGAGGTTTGTTGTCAGTTATTAATGTGAAAACGTGCCCGTAAAGATATAAACGAAAATGTTCAATGCCATATATAATAGCTAATGCTTCTTTTTCTATATGCGAGTACCGGCTTTCAACTGGTGTTAGGGAGCGACTGGCGTAAGCCATAACTTTCGTATCATCCTTTCCGGGTGTTGTCTGGGTTAGAATGGCACCGAGGCCAACTGGTGAAGCATCCACATGTAATTCTGTGTTTTTGCTAGGATCGAAATACCCCATGACCGTGTCCGACGTCAGTAGTCGTTTTAAAGTTTCAAATGCCTCTTGATGCATGCTGGTCCAATCCCACGTAACATCTTTCTGTGTGAGCATACGTAGAGGTGCGGAAACAGTGGCAAGGTTTGGGATGAAACGTCCACAGTACTGGATCATTCCAAGAAAAGATCGAACCTCTGTAGGGTTGGTGGGAACTGGTGTTTCCTTCACGGCGTCAACCTTACTGGGGCTTGGAGAAATTCCATCTGCAGAAAAGATATACCCGAAAAATTCTAGTTGTTCTTTGTCAAATTGGCATTTTGCCAACCCCAATTTCAGATTGTTCGCTTTGAGGACTTCCAGCACTTTCTGCAAGGACGCATCATGATCTTTCTCTGTCTTTCCAAATATGATGATATCATCACTAATGTTGCGACATCCCTCTATTCCATTTAAAACATTGTCCAAAGCATTCTGGAAAATTTCGCTGGCACTATTAGTACCAAAGTTTAGGCGTTTGTACCGATACAAACCTTTATGGGTTGTGAATGTGGTAATAGAGCGAGAGTCTTCGTCAAGCTCAAGCTGGTGATAGGCAGATGAAAGGTCAAGTTTGCTGAAATATTTTGCTCCATTTAAATCTGTTATAAGATCATCGATAACTGGTTGTGGGTGACGCTCTCTCTGAATTGCTTGATTTGGCATACGCATATCAACACACAAGCGTATTTTATCAGGCTGGTTAGGCTTTGGGAAGACAACAATAGGGCTAACCCATGGTGTAGGCCCTGTAGTAGGCTCGATAATGTCAGAGTCTTCTAAATGTTTCAGTTCAACTTCAACTCTGTTCCGAATGGCAAAGGGAATGCGACGAGTGGGCTGCACTACAGGTTTGACACTTGGATCGATGTGTAAATGAACCTTGAAATTCTTAAGCTTGCCAATGCCTGTGAAGACATCACTGTACTCTTGGATCAATGGAGTGAGACGAGTTGGTATTTCTTTGGAGTTGAGTGCTGTAACTGCATTCACTTTAACATGAATGAGGTCTAATTCAATTGCTGTATGTCCACTAAGTAAACATCCAGTTGCATTTTTCACTACAAACACTTTTGCAGTCGTTATTTTATGCGATGACTCAAGAGTACATTGAAATTGTCCTAGGACTTGTAAGGGTGTAGAGCTAGCAAAACCAAAAAGGCGTTTTTTGACTTGGCAAGGGTTATTGTAGGGTTTCCATCAACAAGATGTTTATAGGATGTTTCATTAATAATGTTGGCAGTTGAACCAGTGTCAATTTGAAAAGGTATCTCTGAATTTCCAACTCTTAATGTCTTCTGAAAGTTCTCTTTGTCAGCTGGTGTCTCGAGTGTGTACACATATTCATCGCTGTCATCACTTTCTACTTGTTGTTGAGCCTGTTCAATCTTACGGACTTCGTTGCTGGGTT